GGAACTATAATACACATTTCCGCAAAAAAAAAAAAAAAAAACAGCGTGTCCACAGATGTCGAAAGTGAAGCAGAGAAAAAACGGCCCGATGGTAGTCCGTAATACAAATTCTGTTTGATATTTCTGGAGGAGTTTCGAGACTAACGGGCTTATTCATAATAACTGAAATTTTCGAAGCGCTCTTTACTATCAATCACGAAGCAAAAAAAATGAGGAAAGAAATAATAACCAGTAACAGTGTTTTCAGGTCCGCATCTTCCAAAAGTGCATTCATCCGTGATGAATCCATAATTTCAGCAGTGAAAGGAGCATCAGTAAGCGCAGCAATCTGATCCAGAGATGCTAAAATCTAAAAGAAAATGTTTGGCTTAGTCATTTTTCAAAAGATTAATTCCACTCTCACCAGTTTCACAACTTCAATTTGTTTGTTGGAAGGATCCACATGGAAGTAGTCAAATAAAAAATCATCCGTCAAAATCCTATGCCAGATTCAACCTCTCCTCTCCTGTTTTGCATTTCACTTCAAAGTTTCCAAACACCTAGGTGGCAATACACCAGCTCGATCATGCGTTTTTTGCACAGTTTTTCGGAATTTTTTCGCTAGCAACAGTGTTTTTCCAGGCAAGTACTTGAAGCCAAACAAACTGAGAGTTGCCATCAAACTGTCACAATTATCATAATGATTCCAAGTAAAAACCACTGTAGATTACGTTCGGAAAATTTTAGCAACCTAGCTGCTCTGGTTACAAAAAATAGCGTTAGGTTGCATGTGTCCACACGTTAAAGAAAGAATTTGAAAGTTGTTTTTAAGTATTTGCCCGATGCCATGCTCAGAAAATTTCAGCATCTTAGCTGCTTCAGCTGCAGAGATACGTCAGTGGTGAAATGTGAAAGTTCCTTTTTCGTGCGCTTCCCAAACATAGTTATAGTCTATTCCAGGAAATTTCAACGTCCTAGCTGCCTCGGTTGCGGGATTACGTCAAACAGTATACGTCCACATGTTAGACGTAAAAGGATCGTGAAAGTTGTTTTTATGTGCACCTGCTCAAACACGGCTGCCGGCCATCCTCAGAAAATTCCAACGTTCTAACCGCAAAATTGTCAGCCTCAAACTTTATGTACCCCTGCGTCAAATTCTCGTGTTGATGCATGCCAACTTAATCTTTAACGTGTGCGCAATTGAGTCCTAGGAGTGCGCGAAGGCTGGATTTAATTTCTTCGAGTCATACTTGAGAAACGCACGCTCAGATAATTCCTCGACAGTGTGCGTTTTTTTTTTTTGCATTGCATAGATGCAAAAAAAAGAAAAAAGATTGAAAGGGATTTCGTCCTCTGCCTCACTGCTGCCAAGACTGCCGTTTTGTTTAGCTCTTCTTCACTAATGCATTTCGTTCTTGGTTCTATTTGCTTCTTTTTATAAACCTTCTTCCCTATCCTCTTCTCTCCGATGTCCAAAAAAGTCTTTCCCAAGGGTCTCATTTTGAATTTGTCGTAAATTTCGCGGAGCAATTTTTTTTTCTCTGCCCTGTGCCAACAAAAAATAACTTTATTCATAGAGGGAAATGACAGATTTTTGGCGGTGTATTTTAACGAATCTAAATTGAAAATAACTTTTCTGTGTGAGTCGCGCAACTTTGAATAAATGACTGAAAAAAAAGAAATAGAGTTTTAAGAAGAATTCAAAAACCTTTTCGACGCCAGATAAATCTTCGGGTATCATTTGCTCGGGCCCACGTCTTGTACATCCATCAGCATCACATGTGTCACCACCGGGTAACAGATCACCACTGAGCACTGAGTCACTGGAAGTTGCCGCCAGCGCCGATTCCGAACTGGTCCCTGCTATACAGCCACAGCTTTCAAAATCACCACTGCTACTCCCGCCAGCGTTGCTATTTTTCGGCCATTTCTCGTTATTTACTGCAGATAATATATTGCTCTAAAACGGAAAATAGTTGTAAAATTTAGTGAACAAAGCCATAATTCACTGGGTGCACAATGGGAACCGGGTCTTCCTCTTCAAAACTAAGCGCACCAAGAGTCACAGTGGCATTTTATATTTGTAATACATTTTTTTTTGGAAAAAAACACAATGGATTTCCTAACAGTCTGCTCACCGCTTTAGCATCTAAAGAAAAAGACATTGAATATTTCAATATAAAACGGCCTTTAGACTTTAGAATCGAAAGTAAAAGCGGGAGTCAGTCGGAAAAATACATCAGATCTGTTGGAAACGAGACGACGGAAGCTCGAGACTTTTGTGTAGTGTTAACCTGCCTAAATATATTTTTCGACCATGCTCAGAAAATTTCAGCCCTCTAGCTGCTTTAATTCCGAAATTAAAAAATTGCTGCGCTAAATTTCAAATGTCCGTATGTGAAATGCAGATGGCCGGCAACGCCGCAAAATTGCAGCTCTCTATAACTTTTTACACAAATTCTTGTGTTGGCATGGTGCCAATTTGAACTTTGACGTATACGCACGGGACAGCTGAGCAAGCGTGAAGACCAAATTTAAATTTTTTGAGCTACACGTGAATAACGAACGTCCTGGTTAAATTTCCAGCCTTCTAACTTGCCCAGTTCTCGAATTCGATTTTCCACCAAAGATATTTCACGCATGCGTGTGTGAAAATCTAGGAGTACATGAACGTCCATTTCACGCCTAGGCCCGCATATAGATGTAGACGAAGTAGCCAAAGTTCAGTTTCGCTGCTTCCATAGGTCTCAAGATTGCGGGCAGACACACACATATATATAAACCACAGCGTACTCCTCGATAATATACGTTCTTGCATTGCATAGATATACGCATAAAAAGCATCCATCCTCTCTTACGAAACCCGACTCGATCGGACGTAAAGCGAGCATGCGCGCCCAGTACTTCGGAAACGTCAATTTCTTAGACACTGCAGATGAGTTACCCACACAAGCGCATCACGGGGATTATCTATATGAACGCAGGCTGGAACGCACCGGGCGGGCCCGTGCGATCATGCGTTTTTGCACCGGACTTGAATTATTCA